TGTCCTATTATTAAAGCCACAGCAGAACTCTAAGCATCACAATTTCTGAATGAATCAGCCATTTGAACGAATCGAATGAATGAATGAATGACTCAATGACTTATGATGGGGGTTGGTGTTAAATAATTGTGCTATAATAACCCCTACAGATACAACTCATTATATACACTATAAACACTTTAAAGGAGACAGACATGTAGCACGAGCAATATTGTAAAGCAACTGTTTGTGTCCTGAATAGCACGAGTGCAAATGTGATTTTATACAACAGTTCAGTAAATAAGAACTTAATATTGTGTTATATTTTAAACACAATATTGTCTGTTTTTGCTCAGTTTAGCTGATGCAAATATGTCCTATTATTAAAGCCACAGCAGAACTCTAAGCATCACAATTTCTGAATGAATCAGCCATTTGAACGAATCGAATGAATGAATGAATGACTCAATGACTTATGATGGGGGTTGGTGTTAAATAATTGTGCTATAATAACCCCTACAGATACAACTCATTATATACACTATAAACACTTTAAAGGAGACAGACATGTAGATGCTTGTGAAAGATGTTTTCTCTGTTTTGGAGGAATTATTATTTTTAAATCATACCCTATTTATTGCATCAAAATTTGTAAATACTTTACTATATTTAAGGGTGGAACATTTTATCAGTTTATTGCAACAATACATAACTACAATAACTTTGTCTAGTGCTCTTATTAAAGTTTATAGCATGATTTGTGAAAATTTAACTATACTGAATGACAGCATAGACTTCTTCATGGCTAGTTTTTTGCGTATTTCATTTCATTCTGTAACCTACTTGTTCTACAGATCTGTGTGTACTAGTGTTAAATAATACTGTTTTTGACAGCGTTGATAACGTTTATGACAGATAATATCATGATAATTTTTGTGTTTCCCTTACCGAATGCCGTATCATGTCAGCAAAAACCTGCCCATGGGCTTTTTTGATTGCTTTCAGTTTAAGAACAGGTGTTCTGACAAATAATGCTACCTATCAGATTATGCTACCAACACTGTATTTATCCTACTGGACGGGTAGGTTTAGGGTTAGGGTAGGTGTACATGTTAATAAAGCCTCACACCTTATTAATATCATGCTGGAAGCCAAAACTTATAGGTAGCACTTTTCGCTATTTAATTATGCTACCATCTGTTTTAATGGGAGGTAGCAAAATCTGACAGGGTAGCATCAATCGTCAGAACACCGGCGATGCAGTGTTGCCAGATATTGATACTAACTAAACTAAAAATAAATAAAAATAAACCAAAATTATTTCCAATTTTTTGCAAATAAGATAAGATAAAGATATCGCTGACTCTAAACAGCAACTTCCTACTTTATTAACTTTCTAAAGTGTTAAATTAAGTGGAAACGTGAATTATTGTGGAGTGAGATGACAAGAAGGCTCTATCACTGCAACTCCGAAATCAGAGCACATTTGAATTAATTAATCAAAACCGAAACAAAATATCGGTTTATACGACCCTGTCTTTTATCTTTTAAACGGTCCAGATTGATAAATCCTTGAAAACTGCTAGACTTGATTAGTTTTGACTGTTCTGTGTAAAATTATAGAGCGACACGAAGGTAAGCGCAGTATTGTTTTTTTGTATTTAATTGTCAGATTATAATTCAGTATGTATCAATGAATGACACAGTTTTGACTGTCATGGTGTGTGCATGAACGAGTGTGAAATACCTGCTAATTACATTGCTTTTACCCATCACTTATATTGGACACTTTTTGCATTTAAATTGGATTATTCTGACTACTGACATTGAAAATTATGCATGTGTTGTTTCAAGGGTATCGGTTAATTTCTTGATTGCCGTTTTGACAGTGTCTGCTTGCATATTTTATTAATGTTCGGTAGCCTAATTCTCTTTAATGAAGGCTATTTGCCCCGATTTGATCCATTTACCTGGGAAATTTATCTAACGTTATATTTATTTATATTATTTTGTTGTCATTGTTTTGTTTTAAGGAGTTAAAAATGGCCCTTATCAACCTTGATTGACATATTCCATCATATTATTTTGACAGTTAAAGTTTTGGGGTGGGTTTATATGAGCTTTTGGGCTGGAAATCGTCCATCCAATCTGGCAACACTGCTCAAGCCTCGTTCAGTCCGCCAGCATCTTGCAGCGATCATTTTCATACCAGGGACACTAAACATTCTTGCAAACTGTCTAAACTGAATTGTACATGTCATGCAGGCATTCATATGAGGAGTTTAACAGCAAATTAGTCATTCAAAGAACAAATTTAATTTTTGATCATGAAAAATTTACCTCGGTAAATCAGAAAGAGAAATCTGGTCACCCTATTTTTAGCTGAAACCATGCTCCTTTGTGATAAAATACAAGACAGCAGCTGCCCGTTTTTGAGCAAAATTAATACCCGTGGTTCCTGATGATATTTTGAGGTCTTTGCAGAAACGGAACAATATTTACAACATTATTACCTGTAATCCAGAGCCTCAGGAAAACAGTCTGGAGTGATGTGCGGTTCACAAACGAATCATTCTTTTCAACCGGTTGTTTTTAGTGAACTGAATGAACCAGTTCACCAGATCGGACTGAATCATCTGAAACAGTTCACGAATCGAGCAGCACAGAGCTACAGGATACTCTTTCAGACGCCTGACAGTCACTCCGACTCGAAATGAGCCAAAATAGCAGCATATCTGATCTTATGATGAATGAACTGATTCAGCGCTCCAGTTCCTCCAACAGTCACTGAACTGAAGAAACAGTTTGACTCAGACTGAAGACTGATGAACCACTGATATGCGCATGCATGATCTGAACACTTGAATAAAGGGGTAAAATGAACGTTTTTATGGTTTCTTATGGTTTATGTAAAAAAGGTGAGCTGATGAAAACTAGTTTATTGACTTTATACACTTTAGACAGATAAAACATCTGTGTTCACATCATTATTGGGTGCTTTAATAATATAATGGCGTATACGTTTCATCATTGTGTGATTATGTAAACAAACTTGTGAACAGAATCAGTTCATTGAAACGAACCGTCCAAAAGAACCAGTTTGCGGAGAAGAATCAGATTTGCCTGTTTGCCTGAGGCTCTGGATTACAGGTAATAATGTTGTAAATAATGTTCAGTTTCTTGCACAGACTGATTGTTTCGCTTCATAAGACCTCAATATATCACCAGGAGCCAAGGGTATGAATTTTGTGCTCCTTGATATGCTTTTTTTTTTACTCTGTTATAGCAGCCGTTGACTTGCGTTATATGAATCACCAAGGACCACAGTTTCAGCTAAAAATCGAAAAGAAAAAAAAGCTAAATCTTGGCTGGCCTGAGGATGAGTTAATTAACAGCATTTTTTTTTCTTTCTTTCAAATTTTTAATTTTTCGGTGAACTGTTACCTTAATCTTTCTTTCTTTAGGTCTTTTTTCTCTCTCTGTCTTTTGCTATCACTTTATTTGTGTCCCTTAGCATGTGTTGTTCTTAGTGAAGCTTACGCTGTTTTTAGGGACTCAGATCAGACCGCTGTCCAGCTCAGTGCTTTAAGGCCGAGGGGCTGCTTCTATCCCAAACAGACCTGACAACTGACCTGGATTAGAGATCCAGAGAGACGCAGGGACAGAGAGATCAAGATTTACAGTGGCAAAAGTGATAAGAATGTGAAGAGAAAGACCAGACAAAAGCTGGTGGAAAAAGCTGGTGGAGAAGTCTGGGACCACTTTGAAAATCTTTTGGTGATTTAAACCTGAAAAATGACCATTAGATATATCACTCTACAGTAGCACATTGTTTGTAAGGGGAAAGACGGATATGTCAGAAAACATTGAGGAGTGCTGGGATGAGAAGGATGCCTGAGAATGAAAGAACAGCTGTTGAGAGTCATGTTGGGTGGCTCTCTGTGCTGATGAAGACAGCCTGTGAGCTGAAAATGGACATGCTTCTTTCTTGGAGATGATTGAAATGTTCGATCTGTATCTGCGTGGACATCTGCTGTCAAAGAAAGAGAAAAAGTTACATCTCAGAATGATGCAACCATGCCTGAAGATAGAACTTCCCTTTTTTATTTAAAAATAAATCTATAAATATTAAAGTATTTGGACTTTATATTATTATTATTGTTAATATTAATATAACAAAAAGCTTAGACTGAGATTTTAAGACCCATAAGACACAAAACTGGATTAAATAACATTAACTATCTGTATTTTATCTTAATGACTCGCACTGTTTCCCCACAAATGCAATATTTATCAGTAAAAACTGATAAAATTGTCATGGGGCAAAATTATATTATTTTATTTAATTTTCATACATTAAAAAGTTATCTTTTTTTTTTTTTTACTTTGACCAAAAATACAGTAAAAAGTGTAATATTGCAAAATAATATTTCAATTTAAAATAACTGTTTTCTATTTAAATATATATTAACATGTAATTTATTCCTGCGATGCAAAGATGATTTTTCAGCATCATTACTCCAGTCTTCAGTGTCACATGATCCTTCAGAAATCACTCTAATATACTGATTAGCTGCTCAAGAAACATTTATATAGAAGGTTCAAAAGAACAGCATTTATTTGGAATGTAAATATTTTGTAATTTAATGCATCCTTGTTTAATAAAAGTATTAATTTCTGTAAAAAAAAAAAAAAATGTACTGACCCCAAACGGTAGTGTTTATATTTGTGTATGTATATATATATATATATATATATATATATATATATATATATATATATATTAAAAATAACAACAAAAAACTTAATAATGTTAAGTACTCTTTTTATAGCCATTAATAAAAATGTTTATGGCCTGATGTGGCCAAAATAATAATAAAAATACAGTAAACTGACAAATAAAGCTTGATTTTATTTAATATCTGGCAATAAGAGATCAGTTTTGCTTTTTGTTTCTACAATTGAGTGTGTACATCAGCACTCACACATGTTTTCACCTTCTGTCCTCTCTCAGCTGTAAGCGGCGTCTGACCATGTGTTTTATGGTCTGTGTCCTCACAGGTCACGGTCCATCAGCGGCGCGTCCTCTGGTCTCTCCACCAGCCCTCTCAGCAGCCCACGGGTGAGTAAACTCCGCCCCCAGCACGCCCGCTTCTCTCTGTCCACCAATCAGCACGCATCTGCTCAAACACCTTCATGCCAATCATATCACATACCATTTTGTGTTTGTAGGACATCGTACGTACTACACAACTGTGATTAGTAAGATACATGATATTAGTATGCAAAGAGCTCATAATGCAAAGTGCATAGGATGTATATTTTAGCAGTGTTATTTTAGTATCACTGATATACTATTATAGTTATATAGTTTTTGTTAATATTTTGAATTTTATTTTATTTTTATGTTTTCATTTTAATTTAATTTAGTTTTTGTGATTTTTTTATTAGTTATTGTCTATGTAGTTTTTTATTATTAAGTTTTAGTTTATTTAGTTTTACTAATTTTAGTACTTCAACTTTAAACAAAAATGAAAAATGTTGCTTTGGCAACTAGCTGAAACAAAGTTGTTTTATTATTATTGAGATACTATTATAGATGTTTTAAAATATTTTGAATTAGTTTATATTTTTATACTTTTTGTTTTCATTTTAAATTTGAAGTTCTTATAATTTTGTGTTTTTGTCATTTTTATTATTTTTAAAAATATGTCTGTAGATTTAATTGTTTATTACTTCAGTTTTCGTTTGTTATTTTAGTAAATCAAGTTAAAATAAATGAAAATGGAAATGTGATAAAAATTAACAGGTTATCAGGTTTAGGAACCCAGGAAATAGCATTCTGGCCTCTAGCAAGCAAAGTCAACAAGACAGTTAAATTGTGCAAGAGTGAGTTGCAGAAGAAAGCAGTTTTTGTTTCATGGAGATATACTCTTTCATCCTATCTGCTGCTCTCTGTGTCTTTCCCCAAGTGAAAATCCAGCTCAGGCAACAATGTAGAAAATCCCACTTCTCTGATTAGCACTGAAGCTCTTGGCTAAACTTTTCCAGTTGGCTTGTTTAAGACGGCTCACAGATTTCCAAAGCCTTACCCTAAAGCTCGCCGAAGTATAGTGCTGATTCCAAGTGGAAATTGATTTAGAAGTTCAGTCTAAACCTCTTTTCTGTATGTCACATGAAAATTGAGGATTTTGAAGACTTTTAATATTAGGTTAATGTACTGCTTGTTACTTTTGTGAATTTGTTTGCTTTGATTACTTTTCTGGATTCCAACTGTGAAGAGACGGTTAGTGCTTGAAGTATTTCTGCAACTTTGTAGCTTTTGTGTTTTGAGATTTGAGACATTCCTATTCAGACGCTCACAAGCTTTGAAGGTTCACGCATAATTCAGAACTCGGACGCAGTCAGGCAGTGCATTTCTTTGACATTAGTTAGTCCAAATTCATGTTACAAATGACATTGTCCACACCTCTCATACACGATTTCTTGTTTGATAACCAAGTTGTTCATTTCACGGCAGAACATTTGCTCTTAAATCCCTTTTTTTCCCATTGGTGTGCCTGAAAAGACTTGATTTGCTCTTCATAATGGTCTCGTTGCATCTTTTGCTCACCGGTCTTGGCTAACTGCACGCTTTTTTGTTTCTTTCTTGTTTGATAACCAAGTTGTTCATTTCACGGCAGAACATTTGCTCTTAAATCCCTTTTTTTTCCCATTGGTGTGCCTGAAAAGACTTGATTTGCTCTTCATAATGGTCTCGTTGCATCTTTTGCTCACCGGTCTTGGCTAACTGCACGCTTTTTTGTTTCTTCTGCATCACGACGTCTCCTTTTCCCTCCTTAAATTGTTCCTTGCCTTTTTGTGTGTTTTACCCACAATGCTTGTGACCCGTGCCTGTATATATCGATGTGTTCTGCTCTGGTTCTCACGTTCCCCTAAAGCCCATCCGGAAGTTCTGTGTCCCACCACAGTCCACTGAGCTGCTCTTGTCCCCCAGCTCTAGTATCACTGACTCCCTAAAACCAAACTCGGATCAAAACGAGTTAAAATCCCCAACTTCTAACTCCCTAACACCAAACTCTATATCTGAGTATCTCTTGCCCTGCCCAAAGACCCAAACTCTTCCAGCCAAACCCAAAGACAAACTCTTACAATCTGCCCGATCAAACCCCCTACCCGAATCTGGGCTCGAACACATTTTGACAGCCAAGTCAGAACCTTCAACTCCATGTCAACCACAAGTTCCCTGTATACCGGGCAGCCCACTGGTGCGGCGGGCAACCCCAGCCTCCATCATACCCCCTCAACTCTCAGTCCCCTTTAGGCCTGTTGTCCCTCTTTCCCCTATCCGACTACACCACTTCCACCCTGTTCCCGGCTCTGACCACACCACCAAATCTATCCCCACCATACAGGTGACCCCCCACCCCTCTCCAAGGGGCAGCCCTATCCCCACTCCCAAAGGAACACCCGTGCACACGCCTAAGGACAGCCCCACGGGGACGCCGACCCCTACGCCACCCCCCAGCCCCTCCATCGGGGGAATGCCCTGGAAGACACGCCTCAACTCCATCAGGAACAGCTTCCTGGGCTCACCACGCTTTCACCGCAGGAAACTACAAGGTATCGTGTCAAATTGGTGGATACAGTAAACAAGCTACAATTCTTCCATCCATGCATTCTCCAAACCACTTGTCTTAAGTAGGGTCGCGGAGATGTTGGAGCCTATCCCAGCATCTCGGGCCGAAACTCTGGATTGCCAGGCTACAATTCATGACTCCATGAAATCAAAATTACTGTTGTGTGGCGTTTAATCCATGTATTTTCCATCCATGTTCAAACCTCTACAATGAACACCAAACGAAATTTGTTTTGGCCTGATTTTGTTTCACCAGTTCATTCTTCAATTTTACTTGAAGTATGTTGGAGGCTTAATTCTAATTACAACATGTCCCAAACTAGAAATAGAAAACTGTCACGTCTTCTGGTTTTGTCAGGCTGCAACATAAACTAAATACTACTGGCTATTTAAAAACAGTCCTGCCCCAAATTCCTGTTGGACTTTTCCAATGCCTCAACTTTGTTGGCAAAGAAAAGAAAAAACATTTTTTCCACCCTTAAACTGTTTCATGGGGTGTTTAAATAAACTTGGTTTACTATTAGCTCAGTAATAAGTCACAAACACCTGGAAATGTTTGGGTGGCCAACAAAGAGTTGACTAGATCTTCTAAATCCCTCTTAACGTTGTCACTCAACATTGAGTCATTATAGGCCTGAAATAAAGCTCTTACCTCCTCCAGTTTGACTGGATCCGTTTCATGGCTTGTTGTGGCTAAATGCTCTCATTTACATACTGACTGTAAACTAATTTTAAGCCTGCTACCATGGTTACCACCTCACGTTGTTTTAGTAGCATCAGTTTGCATTTCTTAATACCTTCTCCTGCATGTGACCCCTTAATGATCCAGTTTTATTGTTGGCGTAACCTTTAATCCCAAGCCAAATGGGCAACCTGTGACAAATACTCACAAATGATGCACATTTGCATGCAACTATAGGCAGTAATTATTTCTGTCCTACATACTGAGATGTTGAATTAGATAAATCATTTGAAAGTGATACACAACTTTGATGAATGACACAAATGGAACCTGCTAACATCCTTGCTTTATTCTGAACAGTTCCCACTCAAGAGGAAATGTCCAGCCTCACGCCAGAGTCTTCCCCAGAGTGAGTGCACAGCTTTTTATAGCATGTTACGGATTTCCCATTTACTTTTAACTGAATTATTGAATTGTTTTTATTTATATATTTATTTATTTTTATTTAGAGAGCATTATAGGGATACCTGGATCACTTACTACTGGAATTTTACTTATTTATTTATTTTGCTACGCATGATAAGACTCGGTCTAGTGTACTTTTACATAAAATTCTCATATAAATTATTAGTAAATTTTATTTGCTCCCTTTATTTACCTGGGAGGTCCCTACAGTATAGGTGATTTCAGGTTTTATTATCATTATCGGGACATTTGGCTTACATAAAAATGCTATAATGCGTTTCCAGCTCACCATTAAATCAGTTTTGTGCTGGAAACACCGCAACATGCAGCCGCCAAAAAGCATCGACGAATAGCAGACCTTGAACAATACTTACCCAACAACAGTGTTGATGTAAAACCCCCTCAGCACTTCAGAAATCATTGTGAGTTATGTTTGCCTCTGTTAAACCATTTAGTCTTTTTTTCCCAGTCTAATGGAAGCTCAGTCATATCTTTCTCCCACTGAGACGGGTTTCAGCACACAGCAGACAACAGTCACAAACTCTCTCCCCCACACGGAGTGATGCCTCATCCTCTTTTGTTTTCTATTTTGTCTTCCATAACTTATCCGCCTCTCTCTCGCTTTCCGCGCCAGCTGGATAAGCTGCGGCGCTCTCTGCTTTCTTTTGTCATCCTCTGCCATAAATCAGTTTCTGGAAGTTGCGAGCAACTGTGCTTTGTTGATACACAACAGCGGCGAACTGAAGCTTTTTAGAGCTAGAACAAGGTTTAGACAGACGGTTATTCCTTTGTATGTTAAAATGAGACCAAATTGCATCTGCTAGTTTAAACACCAGGGGTTTTGCTTGATTTTTCCATCAACAGAGATGCTTTAATTTTCAGAGACCTACTGCAGCAAAAATGCAACAGTTGTTTAACAATACCTATCATTCACTAATTATGACTGCAACTTCTGAACTTTTTCATAGCAACATGCAGAAATATATTTACAATTTACAATGCAAAGTCAACATGTTCACTGATATATATTACATTGTAAATAGTATTACACTTTAAAATATCTAAACATTTATTGTTTTCATGAATGTTCAAAACAATGAAATAAACTGATATCATAAAAAAAAAGAATAAATATGTACAAACATAGCTGTGAGACAAGAGTGCCTTATGGATTTTTATATGACTTAATTTGATTTTTGCCGCAGCCATCAATATGACCTCATGCAAAGTTCATGTTAATTTGTAGACCCTCTGCTGTGCCGTTCTTTCACATAGTCCCTTTTATAAATTATTCAGTATCAATTTATTTTGCATAAGCGCCATAGGATCTATCTTATTCTGAGCTCTGATAAGGACTGATCTTGTATCCCCTGAAGACTTCATAAAAAGTTAATGTTTCATATTTCTCTCGCTCTGCAGACTTGCCAAAAAATCTTGGTTTGGTAACTTCATCAACCTAGAGAAAGAGGAGCAGATCTTCGTGGTTATTAAGGACAAGCCTCTGAGCTCTATAAAAGCCGACATCGTCCACGCCTTTCTCTCGGTAAGCAATCTCTTTTGCATGCCTCCAATCCCGTTTCATTCCTCCGTTGTAAACGACAGCTATGAATATTTGAATATATGCTTCTGCGTTCTCTCTATCAGATTGAAAGACTTTGCCCGTCGCACCGGTTTTGATAGGCTTGGCCGGAAGCCTGTGTTTTTACATTTGCAAATACCTTTCTGATTTGTGTTTCAATTCTGTAAAATGCTAGTCTGTGATGTTTCCATCCTCCCCGTGGCTGCCTCTTTCATTAGAGGTCAATGGAAAAGCATGAATCATTAGCATTTAGATGTTGTGCCTCGAGAGGTTTGTGCAGAAGGTAAGGGAGTTTAGTCTGCCGTTTAGACCTGCAAGTGGTTTAAATATGCGCTTAAAAAGTTGCTCGTCACAGTTAGCAACGTTTTCCTCACCTTCAGCTACGCAAAAGTTCATTTCTGCACAATTTTGTGGGGAAAAAGTCCATTGTCAATAGTGTAGCAGTGCTGGGTAGATTACTTAGAAATTGTGGTCTGTTACTGATTCCAAATTAAATGACAAAAAATTGTAGTTAGGAACGTAATCAATTACATTACACATTTTAGGTAATATAATTGGACTACTTTTTGATTACTTTTGACCTAACTTGTTTATCGCATTGATTTAAATAGCATAATGTTGTACAATATTGATATAAAAAATACAAAGAGAAAGAAAATAATATATAAAATATTTGATTTGTTTACATGCATGTCATGTGACCATTAACCTGTATCAGAGGATTGTGAACATGCAAATGCGCTACTTAATTATTGTTACCTTGTTACCTTAAAATCTTAGGGGGTACTTCAAGTAAATATATTAGGTGAATTATGAATAATGTATTGCTATTGTGTGAATAATATGTAATAAAAAAACAACAACAACTGTAGTCCGATAACAAGTATTTTCAAATGTAATTTAATTACAAGTACTTAATTTTTGGAATCTGATTACATAATCCAGATTACATGTAATCAGTTACTAGCCAGCACTGGTAGCGATGTGTGTAGCACAACTCAAACAGCTTTCTTTGGGTCAACGCAGCAAATTCTCATGACCAACTGGAACGCTGTGAAATCTGAAAGTGGAAATCTTTCACCCTTACACATAGGCGGAGGGTGAACCAACTCTAGAGTAAGGCTAAAAGCTGCCAAATGTATTAAACATCATAAACCCGTCTTTTTAGGCAAGAACAAGACATGGGTGTCATGTAGGCTAAAAAAATGTTTTTAATGGGGCTGAATTTGTATTTAACGTGATTACAATTTAATACAAATGTTAGAAATTTATAGATTAGAAATTAAGTTAGAAGTTTCCTGTCCACGGTTGTGTGATTGGTTAAAATGCGCAACACTGTAAAAACGCCTAAAATGAAATATGGTGCAACATGGGCAGATCTTAGACACTGTCTATTCATATTCACTTTGTTAGCAACAGACATAATAGATTTAATTTGTTTGTGCAGGGGCATTTTTGTCCAATTTAGTGGCATTTTTGCCCCAAGTCCCCTTACACACGCTCCACCTATGGCCTTACACGAAATTCCCAAATTTTCCTATTGAAATGATTGGATTTTGCTCATAAAATTGATCCAAACAATGAAATTTATGTGAATTTTCCTAGCAAAAAACCCCTCAGAAATCATCAATTCATGGCAAATTCCCATGGTGACTTGAATCTGATGTGAAGTCTGCAAAATCTGAAATTACCGAAGACCTAGATTCCTATTAAAATGACTGGATTTCGCCTGCAAAAATTCACAAAATAACCATATATGTAACCGCACCTTAATAAACAGCCACGCTTTTCCAAGTCTCCATTTATGTTCTTCATAGATGCTTCCAAATATGTAACAGTGAACTGATCCTTGTCTTCCTCAGATACCCAGCCTCAGTCACAGCGTCGTCTCGCAGACAAGTTTTCGGGCTGAGTATAAATCCACCGCTGGCCCCACTGTCTTCCAGAAGCCTGTTAAGTTCCAGGTCGACATCACGTACACCGAGAGCACTGCGGCCACCAAGGAGAACGGCATTTATTCAGTCACCTTCACTCTGCTCTCAGGTAACCACAGCAACCGCAATCAAACCCGCCGCTACATCAGCGCTCATCAAGACCGAAGAACACCAGCATAGCTTGAAATAAACGAAAATAGTCATGGGTAAAAGAGAAAAAGGTGAATTGTTTTATCTTTCTCCATGATGTTGAAGCATGTTTGGAATCATTTACTTTTAATAAAATTTTTTTAGATAATATTTTGCAATATATATATATATAAAATTTATTTTTTTTACCAAAAATGCTTTGTCGCCAAATAATTCAAAATGATTAATGTAAAACAAATAATAAATATAATCTTAATAATAATTTTCATTTATATTCACCAATACAACTATATATAGTTGATATACAAGGTTAAATTCTCTGTTTATTACTCATTTTAATACTTGAAAAAATATTTTTGAGTGATGACAGCTGTCAGGTTGGATTGCGAATTCTAATGATATTGGGTCTCATTCACTAATAATTGTGCAGATTATTTGTTTTTATACAAACAAGAGAACTTCTTCTCTGCCTAATTTGTAACACTGTGCATAAATGAATTCATTATGAAACTTGTTCTAAATGTACTTGGAGTGTTATAAATGAGCGACCATGTGTTAATCATTTGTATAATATAAGGACTTTCCGAACAATCTTTTCTTCGTAGCTTTTTGTCCCTCTCAGGCTCAGCAATAATAAGACACATGTACATGTTGAAATATAATTAGGATTAAAACATTTATGTGGTTTCAGTTGTTCCTACATTTGTAGTAAAATGTATTATAAATTTATGAAAAATGTAATAGATGAGTCATGATTTGTTTGTGAAAACGTTTGTATGATTTCAAGCACAAATTGGTGCATACGCATGGTTAGTGAATGAGACCCATAGCCTTGAGGAAGCTTAATGGGCAAATACATTTTTGGAGATATGGGATTATGAATATATATTACATAGCCCATTTCTGACAGTCTGACTCTTAGTCTTGGCATGAATTTTATTTGTGTCCTCTAAGGAACAATACTTACAAATATTTCCATTTAATTCTCAGATTGAGCCAAATAGCCTCTTACACACTAATTATCCCATCAGTATATTGCAGATCACAATAACAACATAAGATAAATAGAACACCTAAAAATGCATTATTATTTCGGCTAATGCATCATTCTCCCTTATTTGCTGCCATTAATATCCATTACGTCTCCTCATGATAGCGCCAGCAGCAGCTCTTATCCACTACGGCTTGCAGGATGTTAAATAATGTCATTGTCCACCTAGTAAAGATAAGAAAGACTGCAAGTTACAAGTAGTTTTATAATACATTTCTGTCATATTCCTAAAAGGCTCCAATTTTTCTGTCTGTGGAGCTTTTCTCACTAGAATGCAAGCCAAGTGACTGAGTAGTCGCTTCTTCGGTCTTAAGGAAGCTCCGCTCCGACTTCCTCTTTCAAAATGTCAACAGGGTTTAGTCCTTTTACATGTATGACCTGTTACACTTTATTGCAGGTCCAAGCCGGCGTTTCAAGCGGGTGGTAGAAACGATTCAGGCGCAGTTGTTAAGCACACACGACCAGCCGGGAGTCCAGCAGCTGTCTGGTGAGTATAAATCCCCCCTGTCCCTTCCCCCACTCCATCCCGAGTCCCACGATCCCTATCATGCCTGTTTATACCCCTCCTCCATCATGCATGTTCCTCGTCCACAGCACACCACAACACAGCATCACAGTATTCTCCACATGATCCCACCCTAAAGCAATCCCCATTCAGACGCTAGAAGAGATGGGGAGTTTTCCAATTCGTGGTGATTCCCTTCGGCCACACCGCTGCTCCCCTTTCTCAGGCGGCATTAATGATAGATTTCCCCGACAGTTCTCCAAATGTGATTTCTAGTTTTGGGAGATAGTGTCCTTGTTGGATGACGGATCTGGACTGGTTATGTAAAGGTTCCTGCTACCGTTTTAGGTCGGGATAACCCTAAAACTGAAATCCTGCTCTCTCACCATCAATTATTGTGCTAAACGAACCAGATCACAGAAGACACAAATCAGGGGCATTACTATAAAATACCAAGTTTTGCGAAAGTTTTTCTTCAGTATATATCTTCTATTACCGTGAACTATCCAGAGCTTCAAAGATGAATGGCTGATAATGTGTTTTTTTTCTTTTAGAGGAGAAACGTAAGGAAAAGGCACTTTTCCATCTTATTCTCCATCCACCCCGTGCACATCCTCTCTTCTTGACACATGATAACAGCTCCACATAGTGGTCTGTTAGGTGAACAACAGCATTTAATAGACAACACCAGTGCATATAATCCAACTTTTGAGTTTTTCAAATGCACACCAATGCAGATAGTTTCAGTAACTACTGATAATGGATCTCCATGGACAGTATTTGAGGCAACAATTAAAGAAAAAGTTAGGGTTTTATTTTAGAAATAAGTCATGCTTTTCATTCAATGTGAGGAAGAAATTAGTGTCCGCTACTTTTCTACTGGTTCTTGATTATGGGGACGTAGTGTATCAGCATGCTCCCTCTTATCTTCTTGCCTTCTTGGATGCTTTGTACCATGGTGCTCTGAGATTTATAACTGATTGTAAAAGTTCAACACATCATTGCGAACTATACAAAAGAGTTGCATGGCCTTCTTTGAGCATTCAGAGAAAAATGCATTGGTATCTACTGATATATAAAGTCATATTGGGTTATTTGCCATTTTATCTTTGTTGTTTTATTCAAATGACGTTGTCTGGCAATTACTCATGTTCTCAATCAAATTATAATCTTTGTGTGCTCTTTGTCAGAACTGAGCTTGGTAAAACTTCTTTAATATGCCGCCACTTCAGATTGGAATCTTCTCTAAAAGCAGATGAAGTTACACAACTTTGTGTCTTACATTTATTTAAAATATTACTGCATAATCTAGAGTGTGAATTAATGGCGTGTAATTGTTTTTAATTGGTTATATGTTTGTATGTCCGTTTTAGTATTTTATGTTGTAACTTTGTTGTTTATTTGTATACACGAACTTGGCTGCCTATCTTGGCATCTTAGTCTTTTTCCTGGTTAAATAAAGGTAATAAATAAAATATACAAAGGTGCTGTACGTGACTGAAAAAAAAGTATTGGAGAGAGTAATAATTATATAAATGAAAGGCTGCATTTATAAAAAATACAGTTAAAAAAAACAGTATATTATTAGAATTTAAAAGAACTGGTTTCTATTTGAATATGATCGAAAAAAAATATTTTTTTAATTTAATTAAAATGTTATTTATTCCTGTGACGACAAAGCCATCACTCCAGTCTTCAATGTCACACAATTCTTCAGAAATCATTCTAATATGCTGATTTGCTGCTCAATTATTATTACTTATTATTGGTGTTCAGTTATTATTAATTAAAATTGTGATGCATTTTTCCATGATTCTTTGATGAATTGAAAGTTCAAAAGAACATTTATTTGAAATATAAAAGTCTTTTAACATTATTAATGTCTTTATGGTCACTTTTGACCAATTTTATTTTTCAATTTAATAAAAAAGATGATACATTTTCTAGAATAAAAAAAATATGTAATCATTTTTTTTTTATAATTAATGAAAACATGAAATAATAAGAAATGTTTCTTGAGCAATAAATCAGCATGCTAGAATGATCATGTAGCCTAACACTGAAGATTGGAGTAATGACTAATGATAAAATAATTTTACATGAATGTTTCAATACTAAATTTTAAATTGTATTATTCAACTTTTTAATCAAACTGTTTTGCTCATTACATTATTTATTTAATGCAAAATATTGTTTTTTAAATAAAAAATGCCAATGCTATTTTGGACCCCACTGTATATGCACACATTTTAGTAATTACTTCTAGTATTTATCAAGTAGCATTTAATAATGAGAGTGTTAAGTAGTCAACAGTGTTTGTTGTTGCCGATTTGAGGAGGTTTCAGGGACTGTTGGGTAACAGAAAGAAATCGCAGACCATCTCAAGAAAGTAGATTGTTGCTTTTGCTCCTCCTGTCGTCCTTCTCTGTTCCCACCCCACTGTCTTTCACGGTCTTTCTTTCTTTCTCCTTTGCTTTCACTCAAACACGTCACATTCATTCGCTCTGTCTCATTCAGCGCTGTATGACTCACTGTGGTTTGAATGCACTACTGCACTGCAGATGAATGGCACATACACACTGTAGTCAGATTACACTCACCGCTCCAGAAATAAACACTTAAATTATGCATTTAATTATGTTATTTTGTGTAGGTGGTTGTGGTTTTCTGTGTGTATGCAAATACCTAGCCTCCTAATGTTCTTTAGTTTCATAAAAACTATTTGTATTCCAAACAAGTATAATTATCCACATAAACTTGTCTAATAACCACCCAACCGAAGTCTTCTTGCCCCTAATGTAGTCTAGATGAAGACATCTGGCCCCATGCTTGTTAATTGGAAATTGCTCATTTGCTTCACATAAGCATGATGAAGAGCGTACACAGCGAATCTAATGAGCTAATGCGCTGATCCAATTTATAAACCGAAAAAGGGTGCGCTATTTGTGATAGTTTTGTCTGGTGTCAACACGCATGTTTCTCTCACACAGAGAACTCTCAGTGTGCTGCAAAATCCGCCAAAGTCTCAAAGTCAAAGTGTGGTAAGATTTTTACGGCTTCTGTGTTAAATACGCCAATCTTGCAGCACAATTACAGTGGCCCAGAGAGTATTTAGACACTTGAGTCACACTTAAAGATGTCTGAACGTCATTGCTTTTGATACCTAAATGAGAATTTGCTGAAAACTTGCCGCCCCTCAGGCCATCCGAGATGTAGATGAGTTTGTTTCTTCATCAGAACAGATTTGGAGGAATTTATAATTGCATCACTTGTTCACCAGTGGATCCTCTGCAGTGAATGGGTGCCGTCAGAATGAGAGTCCAAACAGCTGATAAAAACGATCACAATAATCAACAAGTAATCCACACCACTCCAGTCCATCAATTAACATCTTGTGAAGAGAAAACCTGCACGTTTGTAAGAAATAAATCCACAATTAAGTAATTTTTAACTTCAAACTGTTGTTTCCGGCTAAAATACGAGTTCATAATCCATAATATTGTTTTCTCCAGTGAAAAAGTCATCTCGTCAGAATCAGGAGAGAAATATGCACAGATCAATCATTTACAAGCAAAAACAGTCCAAAACAGTTCTAAACAAATATGTGAGTGGATTTTGATGTGCAGAGAGACATTAGGAGATTGACTTTTTCACTGGAGGAAGCGTTATTATAGACTATGGACTCATATTTTAATGATGTATTTGTTTCTTACAAACACGCAACTTTTCTCTTCACAAGACATTACCTGATGGACTGGAGTGGTGTGGATTACTTGTGATATTTTTATCAGCTGTTTGGACTCTCATTCTGACGGCACCCATTCACTGCAGAGGATCCATCTGTGAGCAAGTAATGCAATGCTACATTTCTCCAAATCTGATTCAATTAAGAAACAAAGAAAATAGAAACTGAGAGTATTAATATAATTAACCATGATTCATTTTGGGATTCATTTGATTATTTAAACACATTTATACTAATTTATTAATATTTATTCATCTAAGTACTTTTAAGTCATCCTATGGCCCGCTTGGAAATTTACTGAGGCCCCCTGTCAAAGAACCACTGGTCTAATACAATTATGTTCATTTTAGGGATAGTTCACACAAAAATAAAGATTCTATCATCATACACTCATGTTTTTCCCGAACCTGTATGGCTTTGTTCTGCAGACATGGGGGTGAATAAATAAGGTCATGTTTGGGTGAACTATCTCTTTAAGTGTCCAAAAACTTTTTGGGGTCACTAAACTACTGTCACACACACTGCCTTTTATCTTATATAAGCCTGTGATAATCACAGCACATGTAATGATGCATGCCCTGTAGATTACATCCAACTTTAAGTGTACCCAACCACATAAATACCCTTTCACGTGTAATGTAATTAAGTGCAGCACAATTCTTTTCTGTTTAAGTTTTGTGTACACTTGCAAGACAAGCTGTTAAGATGAGCACAACATAAACTGGCTATTTAGTGCGTACGTGGCTTATGAATCTGGTCTTAGTTTCTTAGTTATGTGAGCCAAACAGACGAGGCTGTGCATATGTACACCAGAGGCTCTTATGTGCCCCCAAGTGTTCAAATGAACCCCACACCACTGACTGAGTGCCAGTTATTGTGCAGGTTTGCATGTGTATTCATGCGTTTGGAAGTATACTAAACCAAGTACACTAAAGGGGGGTTTCTCATACAGTCAGAGTTAGCTCAAGGCTAGTCTGAGCCTCAGATGGACTAGTCACAGACCGTCTGCTGCATATTACACACAAATGCCAAGAACGTTTGAAAATCGCCAGTTCCAGGAATCAGGATGCACAGGTTTTTAATTAGCCTGTCGAAAAACAAAAAGTTTACAGTAGTCTGCTAGAATGAGTGAAGGAACTAGTTTTTCAGTTCTTGAACTAGAACTGCATTTGTGAAGTTGGTGAGGTTTGTGCCATTCATTCTTTGAAAGTTATTCAAGAGTTTGAAGCCATTTAAATTATTTTATTAAATGTTTACAATATAATTGTGTGAAGGATAATGTGTAAATGCAAATAACCTAAGCTCCTGATATGTTATGTAAGCTTGTTTTCACAACAGGATAAAAAAATTTAAAAAGGTAACTGCGACAGTTCAAACTTTTTATATATATATACAGGGTTTGAAATTAACACCCGCCAAATGCGGATAAAAATCAGCTGTGGCGGGTAACGCTATCAAATCACTAGCCAATTTGGCGGGTTACTTTTCGTAAATTATGTTCACTCATTAATTTCTTTGGGAAGTTCATGCAGGTCAAATCTGCGCAGGTTTAGCGCAAATACTGAACTCGTGAGACATCATGACATATCGAGTATATTGCAAAAACCAAACAAAACACACCTACAGAGGCACGCATACGCGACGTGATGAAGTCTGGTTAGAGTAGACCAACACAGGATTTAGTGCGCGTGCGCATTTAGAGTGGTTCTTTCACTGCATGATTCAGTCTATTAATATGCATTAAGAATGATCACATAATTCAAGATAAGGAGGCAGAAAATGTATTTATATCAATTCATATAGTTAATCAATATCACACGAAGAGTGCCGTTTTTTCTTAAAAAATCAGCATGGTTACAAACGTGATATTTATTTTATACAACAGTTCAATAAACAATAAGTTATTTTTTTTAAGTTTTTTGCGTTATTTCTGTGCTATTTCGCCAACAAAAAACATTCCAAACACAGCCACAGTACTGTTTTGCGTCTCTGAGCAGCATGACGTTGTTTTGTTTCTGAATGAATCAACCGTTTAAATGATTCTGTTCAATCGCAATAACTCACTTAACAGTGACTTGCTGCCACCTACTGGCAGTTTTAATTTCACATTTAAAGTATTTTTTAAATCATTTCAAATCAGTATTCAACATTTCATGTTTAAAATATCAAAACATTATTTATGCATTTGTAACTGCAGGTTAAAGCATCCCATGTCCCTCTAAGCTGCATTAACATGTGTAAATACATCTAAATGCCACTTCATATGCAACTTTTGCAAAGATTAATTTTATTGATACTGATTTAATTTGTTTAGTAACAGCCTAAATGTATTATTATTATAACTGACTGATTAAATGTAAGAATTTGACTCAAAGGATGATGTACACTTTTAGAAAAAATGGCTTTATAAAGGTAATAATGCCCATAAAAGTTAAAAATCAATTTAAACTTATTGGAAAAGCTTAATTTCTATCACTGCTGTGAACTGACCACACAGAATATGAAGAATATCATATCATATGAAGAAAACTTTAGGAGCTGTCCACGGTACACTCTTAAAAATAAAGGTGCTTTACGATGCCATAGAAGAACCTTTTTGTCTAAATGGTTCCATAAAGAACCTTTAACATCAGAAGAACCTTTCTGTTTCACAAAAGGTTCTTTGTGGCGAAAGAAGGTTCTTCAGATTATAAAAAGGTAAGAAAGAGATGGTTCTTTAAAGAACCTTTGACTGAATGGTTCTTTGTGGAACCAAAAATGGTTCTTCTATGGCATCGCTTGAAGAACCTTTTGAAGCACCTTTATTTTTAAGAGTGTATTCCTTAAGACATCAGCACAATAACACACTCAGCAAAATATCGTCTAATTATCTTTATCGATAAAATCACAGAAAATATTGAGATATTATTTTTTATCAATATCGCACACCCCTAGTACTGACAAAATGATTTGCAACGATCGCTTTGTCACGCCCAGTATAGACAGCCTCAAACTGTTGGTGTATTTCTGTCTTTTCTTTTGGCTAGTAGACGTTATGAATGGCTGGTAACTTAAAAATTTAGTAGCCAAATTGGCTGGTGAGTGAAAAGGTTCATTTCAATCCCTGTATATATACATATATATATATATATATATATATATATATATATGTGAGTTTATATCTCACAATTCTGAGGAAGTCCAGATGTAGTTTAGATGAAGAAAGTTTCCAAAAAAAAATAATAAAATAAAATATTTGAGCAGTGGTCGCTGTGTATAGACTTTGGCGAAGAAAATGTTTGTAGACATTGTAGTTTTTCATCCAAAAAATTTTCATGAACATAATCACAAAAACAAGGCCGAATATAGAGTGCTTGATGATATCTTGTTGATGTATATTCCGCCTGTGGAATATGGTGTATAATTGAACCAGACAGATGACACTTCATAGGCTTATGTGACTTTGAGGAGTGAGCAGAATGAAGATTAAAGGGTACATTGTACCCATGTGTGGGTTTCCTGACTGATCTACGTGTCATTCTCTCTGCAGTGACAGATGTACAGATGCCACATCGCTTCTCTCATTACTTTAGAGCCTTTTCTAATTATCTAGCCTTTCTCATGTTTGCTATATAAAGCCATGTGCCTCACCTCTATCAGGGCTAAACCCCTAAAAGTCAACATGAAATCAAAATCAACTCTCTTTACTTTCTTAATACACGTTCCTGGTCTTATTTCAAATGACTTAGTACAACCTAATTAAAAACATTTATGTTAGCTAAAGCTATTTATTTGGTTTAGGTACTGTTGTTACACCAATCTTGTCTACACCAATTGCAGGTCTGCAACAATCAACTGCAAACTCGCATTCAGGTTTGACTCCATCTTGAAACTCCGCAAACAATTGCCTGTGGAGAAAAATCTATTCGCACCTTAATTTTGGGGGGAATATTCTGTTTCACTTGGAAATGCATCTTGGCTGAAATAAAATTGCAAATTTTAAAGGTTGCAAATGCTGTTTCATGTTGACTTTAAGGAGGTAGGTCTGTTTTGGAACACTGTAGCTGGTTTAGACAGCTGACCAGCTGAACTACCGGCTGAGCTGGTACACTATCTTGATCAAGGATGTTGTTGGAAAAAGCAGATCTTAAAAGTCCCACCAACCATCTTGGCGGAAGCAAAATGGATTGCAAATGCTGTATCACATTGACTTTAAGATGGTTGGTCTGTTTTGGAAAATGGTAGTTGGTTTCTAGCTGGTTCATGCTGGTTGACCATCTCATACTAGCTGTTGGGGACCTGGCTAAGCTGGTACACCAACTTGGTCAAGGATGTTGCTGGAAAAAAAGTTAGTCAAGTTGCTTTTGGAACATGATAGCTGGGTTATTTCTGGTCCAAGAGTGTTATTTTGGTTGACTAGCTAGTGGAAACCTAGTTGAAATTGGGCTGGAAAAACCAGGTTAAGCATATTTTTGGCAGTCAAGCTGATTTATCTGGTCTACCAGCTTAGCCAGGTGCCCACCATTTGGTAGTTCAGCTTATCAACCTTCTAAATTACAGCTAATTATGTTGATGTAGCTATGTTCATCTTGCTCAACTCATACAGCATAGCACTAGCAACACCATGGTTATGGTTTATATTTCCAAGAAAGACATCCTGGTAAAATATTGTAACTTTGAATGTACTGTAAACTGCAAGCCAGCTTAGACCAGCTAATGGCCAGTTAGAAACCAGCTAGCTACCAGTTTAAGATGGTTTTGTCTGATTTAACCAGGTAATCCTCATCTTGTACATAATTTTCAACATTAAAAGTTAGTATGGCCCTAAAAGCTTCTTCATGTCTTAGTCTTGACATTTCCCCTCTTTCTCTCCTTTCTCCTGTTTTCCCCTTTCTGTCCATTTCTCCTCGTGTGAACCCATTGTTCATTTCTCTATTTGTTCTCTCTCTTTCTCTCTTTTTTCCTCTTCTTCCTATCTGTGTACCTAGGCAGCCCATTGAGTAACTTCTTTGACGTAATTAAACAACTTTTTTCAGACGAGAAGAACGGCCAGGTGCCTCTTCCACCTGGCACGCCCAACAGACACCCACCTTATGCCTGTCACCACGACCCTAAGCCTAGTGACTCTACATGCCCAGCGGGCAATCCCAGGGACAATACCAAGCTGGTGGCATCCGTTGGGACACAGGAGCAGCCCTAAAACTTTACGTACCAACATAAAAGCACTCAAAGATGTACATAATCTTAGAGTTGATCGAATTTATATTTGGACAAACTTTTGTATGATGGAAATGACTGCTTAAAAACAAATTATGACACAAATCCAGACACATTTCTCCTTTCACCGTCTCTGCCATGTCGTTGTGCCAGCCCCTACCCAAACCCCTGTTGTTTCTTCCCCAGATATTTTCATGTCTTTACGTCTGTCTTCCTGTTTTCCTCACCTTTGTGACGGCTTGTCTTTGCTGCTAGGATTTATCCAGAAAACGTATTAAAACTCCGCCCCCACTTCCCTGGACATCCTGAGACGGACATTTATTGACAGACAGCACTTTTCATGACGAACAAGCGGGTTACCAAGAAGATGGACGCTTCATCTTTCGTCATACTCTTCCCTTTCCGCTCTCTGTTCTCTCCGAGGACTAAAATACAAATACCCACACTTGTTCCCACTCAACCTGTGTGCACCCCTGCCATCATCTCAGCACACCAACCTGTTAAAATGGTTGACCAGCCAGTGGGAACCGGCTGCACCAACAGGATCTGTTCCAAAACGTAGTTAGCTGCCACTAAGATACCTCACTCTGATCAAATGATAAGGCAGCCTCTTAATGCAATGCAACAAACATCGTTTAAGTAAAAATGGCGTTAAAGATGGCAGAGAAAGCACTCAGTTTAATTAAAATAAGGACTATTTTACTAGGGTGACCATATGTGCCATTTTCCCAGGACGCATCCTGGCCAGGATTTCTATATTGCGTAAAATATCTAGGTTTTGGCTTTGTTTGCATGTGCAGACCGATCGGTGTATGACATCAAAGTACCATACAGACGGTTATGCTTTCGAAACGCTCTCGAGATACTTTGATGTCAAACACTGATCGGTCTGAGCCGCACTGCTTTTAAGTCGAACACACCAAAAATGTATGCGTAATTGCATCGCTTTGACCGTAGATCCCACCTTCTCACACGCCATGATTGGTCCATTATGTACAATGCTTGCATGTGTAACCCCTCTCTCCCGGGTCCTCACCTCGCTCTCGCTCAGAGTGGGTCTCGAACCCAGGTCTCCTGGCATGGGAGTTTCGGACACACTAACAAGGAGGCTAAAGACTGCAGCCACTAGCATCAGTCGCTAGTGCATCTCTTGAGATCAGGGGAGTGAGGTTTACCTGCACAGCACCTACCGCTGGCCTCCGTTACACATGTTATTGGTCAAACTACTTTTCGATCATTACCTTCAGCAAGCATGAAAACAGGAAAACAAAGCCACAACAAATCCTGGCCAGGACGCGTCCTGGGAAAATGGCACGTATGGTCACCCTAATTTTACCCAATATTTGAATGTTATGTATTCTTATGTACAATAAAGTATGGAGCTATTAGCATAGCAACATGCTAACTGCAAACTGTACTGAAGTCAGTTGAGAATTGAGCCTCTAGTGCACATACTTCAGGAGCACCATTTGTGTCACACATACCGCTCTTCCACTGGGGCTGGTGCTGGAGCTGGAGTCAGTGCTCGGCCAAGAGTGGCACTTGTTCAGAACTGGCTCCTCTGATAGTGAGCAGAACCCTCTCCATCACCAATCTGTGACTGCAATCGCTTGTTACCTCTTGCAGAAGGAGAGCGTTGATCTATCCTGCTGTCCACTACTGACATATTTAATTGTTTGTGTTAACGCTGTTAATTTACCTGAACTCCGCCTACTGATGTCATAGGTTCCCTTGTTCGAGACCAGCAAGGTTTTGGGGCCGGTTCGGAACTAGGATCTGGGCACTGGCCCAGGATATTTTTGAGTGGAAAAGTGCAGCCTGGTTCCCAAATGGGCTCCGGCTCTGGCACAAGCCCCGGTGACAAAGCGGTAACAGTGTTGAAGAGTGTTTCAAATAAGTTGTTAGCTTAGCAACATGCTAATGGAAAACTCTACTGACATCAATTAAGAATCAAGTCTGACATTTTATCTCCCAGTTCTGACTTTTTTCCCATCAGAATTCAGATTTTTTTTTTCTCAGAATTGTGAGATATAAACTCGCAAACTCAGAAGAAAAGTCCAAATTGCGAGATATAAACTAGTAATTGCAAGAAAAAAATGTAAGATTAAAAAGTCGCAATTACCTTTTTTAATTTTTTATTCCATGGCTGAAACAAAACACAATTCTGACTTTTTTTTCTTGCAATTGTGAGTTTATATCTCACAATTCAGACTTTTCTTCTCAGAATTGTGAGTTTCTATTTCGCAATTGCAAGTTTTAAACTCATAATAAGACTTTTCTCTCAAATTGCGAGTTTATATATTGCAATATTGAGTTTATATCTCACAGTTCTGACTTTTTTTTTCAGAATTGAGTTAAAGTCCAATATGTGAGATATAAACTCTAAATTGTGAGAAAAAAGTGAGAATTGTGATATCAAAAGACACAATTACCTTTTTATTTTTGATTGAAATAAGCTTTCTTCATGAAGTGCGTTACTTATGAGGTTACGAATCAGGAAACCTGGCTGGTGCACACAATTTTTGCCTTGATTTTGCTTAGAGAGTGTCTTTAAACAAAAGAGTCTTAAAAGTGTGTATCATGCTTTAAACAATGAGGTAGCTTACTAGGTTTGGAACAGATTCACACTTAAAATACTAGACATCAGTACACACTCGCAACTCTAGGATGTTTGCACTCAGATTCATGAAGACCATAGGAAAACAAAAAAAAAACACAAATTGAGAAGGAAAAGATGACTTTGAGAGCTTGTCGTGGAGGATGTGGACTTTTTCAAACTGTATCGTTTCCATTTGCGCTCTCTTTTATTTATTAATGACTTTATGTTTGAAGAACATCACTTGATATGAAATCATTGCTGCAAAAGGACTGAAACATGGATTTCAGTGAGTTTGGGACTTGGGGTGGGGTGGGGGGAATAGTACTGAATGAATTTGTCCTAATGAATGAATCTCTGTTGTACAGATTGAACATAATTATGTACAAAAATAATGTCTAGATGTGACACTAGCTTTAGTTCTGTTGTAGATTCAGATTTGAAATCTTGTGTTGCCAGTCTTTATTTAATTATTATTTAACCCTTGTACTTCTGTATTTATTATGTGATGGAACAATTTGTTTCATTTAATCGATTTGGGTAGACACTGAATTGCAGTGTTTGATTTGTCTGTTTAATTTATATTTGTTTCCTGATCATTCCTCATGTTCGCTATACCAGCAGACACACACACACTCAAAAAATTGAATACATTGTGGATATTTTTGTATTCTTCCTTCTGTTTTATCGCTGTCCTTATTTATTGTCATCTAATTATATATGAGAACTTGAATGTTATTTATGACAATAATGTGTTTGTATCAGGGCAACACAATTTTGTTCGTTTAAGAAACTTTCTTATGTCTTGATTTGTAAAAGTACCGTGGACTTTACAAATCTTTCTTTCCTAGCTTCAAAAGAGAACAAAATACTATGTAAAAACATATGAACCACAAAAAAGCTAATTTAACAGTTATTTAAGAATGTAGTTTAGCCTCTATGGGGAGGAAATGAACTTCTTGATATCAATGTCAGCTTCATATCATTGTTTGTGTACAATGGATGACGATAAAGCTGTTCTTGGATCAGTTTTACTGTAAATATGGTATGGTGGCCTTCGGGAAGCTCAAAGGCCATTCCTGCTCTTTGCTTTTGACTTGTATTGCTGTGTGCATGCACGCATTTTCTTTGCATGGCTTTGACGTAACAATTCTCAAGAATCACGCTATTTTCTCAGAACTGCTTTCCTTACATTGTTTAATGGACCCCCCCGCCCTCCTCTCTCTGTTAGTCTCTCTGCATATTTTCGTTCTCTTCCTGGTTTCCTGTTAAGTATTTTTTTTTTTTTTTCTATGTACGCTGTAAGCGAGCAATGCTCATTTGCAGTGTCTACATGGTAGGCTATCAGTTTATAAAATGCTTCCTTTTATCTGTACCATGTACCTCGAACGAGAAGGTTTCGGATGTTCACGGCCCTCTGTTTACAGACAGCTTGTTTAAATGAAACAATAAAGCAATACCTGTTGTTAACTTTCCTATTTTATACACTTATAAAGCAAAGCTTAAATGGAAAAAAAAAATAAAAATGCCCATGCAGAGCAGGAACATGCATTTAAAGTTGTAAAATTCCCCTTGTATCATAACTGTGAGCAATTTCAGAGAGAAAAATGAAACAATAAACTCATTCACTTAATAGTATGATAGTGAGTGTACATGTTTTTATGTTACTGAGTGGATGTGTTTATCAGTAAAACAATGACACAGACTAATGTCACATAGGATGTCCATGACCATATAGGCCTATATACGAAACTATGTATGCACACAGAATTGCTAACTTTTATAATTTAGCCTAAGTAGTGGATTGATTTAGGCTAAGTAATCTGCTTAAGCTTAACATGTTCGATATTATTCTCACTGTTGTTGTTGTTGTTTTTTTGGTAAGTTTTTACTGTGATATGCAAAGTGAAATACAAGTGAGCAACTGTTCAGTTGTCATTGTCCTTAAAGGTATAATATTTAATAATATTCCAATAATATTTAAAATACTTTGAGATTCCATTTGTGCCAAATATTAATACAACAGTTAGTCCTCGAATTTGATTGGCTGATAGCCGTACTGGGACTTTTCCCTGTTTGTATTACTCCGCTGCTCCCGTCTGCGTTCTCCAGACAGATCCGATGCCTCGACATGCGATAAAAGGTAAGGACGGTTTCTGTTCTATAGCCAGCTACAAGGCGATATTAAAGTGTAGTGATGGCGAGATGAAGTCTCATGAATCGTTGAAGCTTTTCAGCCAAGTGGTTCACAAAAGGGTTCATTTCTCGAGGCTTCATTTGCTCACACTATCACCTGGTGGCCAAAGAGCGTAAAACAAGCAGATACATTACAGATGACCTGATGTGATCTGTGATACATTGTATTTTGCGCCAGAGTTAAGGCTTAGAAATAATGGTGAAGAAAAAAAATAAATTTCCACATAGACTAATCTATTGATATGTATATAATGTGTATTTTCTAGTGGTAGGCTATATAATGATTGTATAACATAATATAACATAGCTGTGTAATAAACGTATTGGCTTGAAATGAATGGGGCTATCAAATGTGTGTAAATCAAGTCTTTGCTCATAATAGGCAGGAGGGGCAATATTATTAGTCTAAAACTGGAAAGTGGCTGGGTTTAACAGGGCAGAGGACTGTGAATTTATAAGATTTGAACTGCTTCCCGAACCATTCAGGCCAAGCAAGGCTTCGGACATCATCAATGAATGTCATCATTGCTCTAAAACAGGGAGGGGTGCCCAACCCTGTTCCTGGAGATCTACCTTCCTGCAGAGTTCAGTTCCAACCCTGATCAAACACACCTGTCTGTAATTATCAAGTGCTCTTTCAGATCCCAATTAGTTGGTTCAGGTGTGTTTGATCAGGGTTGGAGCTAAACTCTGCAGGAAGGTAGATCTCCAGGAACAGGGTTAGGTACCCCTGCTCTAAAGCGATACAAGCCTCGATACGCGCTTCACTGAAAGCTGCCGGGATTTTTGACACACGCTCTGAAGCCTCGGCACAGAACGTAACATCACTATTAAAATGTTTAATTAGAGTTCATATTGGGCATCGCTTTTATAGCCGCGATTAATTGAGAGTGGATAATTAAGGTTACCTCAGACCAGGGGTGCCCAAACTT